GGAGGGAGCTATAGCTGGGATACAAAGTGAATATTAAAAATGAATACACTAATATAAAAATAAAAATTTTAAAAAAGAAAAATTGTCATGTTTTATATTGTGATATTGATATTAATATTAGATCTTGGGGATGAACAAGAAAGGAAAGGTTATGGCTTAACAGCGATGTGTTTGTATGTCAAGGTGACAAGTCAATTGTGCTTGCTAGTTTTGTGTCAATTTGAATATGCTAGAGTCATTTGGAAGAGGGAACCTCAAATGAGAAAATTCTCCCACCAAATTGGCCTGTGTAAAAACCTGTGGTGTATTAATTAGCGACTGATGTGGGAGACCCCATTTTATTTTGAGTGGTGCCTACTCTGGGCAGATGATTCTCATAATGCAGCAAGAATTAATAAAATCAAGATCCAGCATTTCTTCCCAACCTCTGCATCAGTCCAAACCTTCAGGTTCCTTTCTTGCTTAAATTCTTGACCTAATTTCCTTGGATAATGGACTACAACCTGTAAGATGAAATAAACTCAAAGACTCAACATCTAAAGAAAATTTCAGACCAATCTCCCTGATGAACATTGATGCAAAAATATTGAATAAGATACTTGTAAACTGAATTCAAGAACACATTAAACACATCATCCACCATGATCAACTAGGCTTCATCCCAGGGATGCAGGGATTATTCAACATATGAAAATCCATCAATATAATCCACTATATTAGCAAACTGAAAGAAAAATATCACATCATTGTCTCATTAGATGCAGAAAAAGCCTTTGAAAAAAATCCAACACCCCTTCATGATAAAAGTCTTGGACAGATCAGGGATACAAGGCCCATGCTTAAACATAATAAAGGCTACATACAGCAAGCCAATAACCAACATCAAACTAAATGGAGAGAAACTCAAAGCAATCCCACTAAAATCAGGGACAAGACAAGGCTGCCCACTCTCTCCATATCTCTTCAATATAGTACCTGACACTTTTGCTAAAGCAATAAGACAACTAAAGGATATCAAAGGGATACAAATTAGAACGAAGTTGAAGTATTGCTAATTCAGATGATATGATTGTATACATAAGTGACCCCAAAAATTCAACCAGAGAATACCTGCAACTGATAAACTTTAGTAAAGTAGCTGGATACAAGATTAATTAAAAATCAGTAGCCCTCCTGTAAACAAATGATAAACGGGCTAAGAAAAATTAGAAAAACCACACTCTTCGCAATAGCCACAAATAGAGTATCTAGGGATAACTAACCAAGGAAGTTAAAGCCCCGTATAACAAGAACTTAAAGTCTCTGAGGAAGGAAATTGAAGATGGAAAGATCTCCCATGCTCATGGGTAGGAAGGATTAATATGGTAAAAACAAAGATTTCTTATGCCATCTTGAACTAACTATTTTCTTGGGGAAAAAAAATTCTCTCTGACAAGAATTTTGTTTTTTATCAACGAGAACATGGTAATAGTACAAGCTACATATACTGAACTTATGATAAATAGACTGTGAGTTACTTAAATCCAAGATCCATGACTATTTTTGTCACCATGACCTTCTAGTTAACATCATTTTCAGCATACAGAAGTTGCTCATTAAATTTCTGGGAAAAAAGGTGGGGAAGAAAAATGACAGCATTAAGTCCATTACCACTGTCTCACTATTTGCCAGTTAACCAACTCTAGATTCAGATTCAGGCTCTGCTCTCATCCTTCTCCCTCCCATAGGTAGGTGGAGCATCTTTCAAATATGTAGGCAGGATAAATAGGAGGATTCATTGTCCATGAAGGACAGTCTGATCCAGAGCCACTGAGTATATCTGCACTAAGCCTCACCATCTCTGGCCTCCAAGTGGCTCTCTGATTGGCCTGCTTCTGCTGCTGTTCAAGGCAGCACAACGCCACCTGCACAGGCAACGGTTGTTCACAGCCCTCAGCAGTTCCATCTCTACCCTCCCACTGACTTTTTGGGCATTACTTGGAGGTAGGAAGAAGCAGAATTGGGAAGGGGGTGATCTAGGGCTTATAGATGATCTCTTTAAGGGTATAATCATGGAAAAATTGAGAATACAGAAACTGAAGGTGAACATACTCTTCTCAGCACACAGTGTTGCTTATTTTGTGTGTTTTGGAGGGGACAGATTCAGGGCCTCACATGTGCTAGGAAGGCCTCTACCAGTGATACACAAAGCCTATCGTCTGACAGGCATGTGACCTCTGTAGAAACCCACCTTTACTGTCAGTGTAGGCAAATCTCAAATAATATGGAGCGCAGGGTTAGTTCCGCTGTTTCTAAACTCTATTTCATAATCCTTCCTTGCACCCATCTGTTTTGTGTCTTACTAGCCCTGCACTTCCAGGGCTGAGGTTGGTCTTTTTGAGTCCCCTCTTAAGTTGGAGCACCTGTAGTATTCCAACTGCTCTCAAAGAATCAGGCTTTTCAAGCTAGGCTTGGTGGTGCACGCCTATAATCCCATTCAGGAAGGAAGAGGGCATGGTGGTGCACAGCTATAATCCTGTTCAGGGAGGAAGAGGGCGCAGATCTCTGTGAGTTTGAGGCCAGCCTGGTGTACAAAGCAAGTTCAGGACAGCAAAGGGCACACAGAAAAACCCTGTCTTGAAAAACAAACAAAAGGAATCAGACTTCTAGACATTTCCATGCTCAGTCACTCAATGTTACCCTCTTTGCCTAGTCCAGAGTCTGCCTTCAAACAAAAACAACATTGTGGTGGACTCCTTGTCCTGTTGGGTCCACTGTCTGTGGTGAAAATAGACAAGACGTTCAGGAGGTGTCAGAGCACAAGAAAAGAATTGATTCTTCTGTGATGGCTGTACAATGTCGAGAGGAATTTCCCCAAAAATGGTGACTTAGGGCTGAAACCCTAACAATGACAGAAAAAAAAAATGAGGGAGATAGCAGCCTGGTGTTTTTCAGCTACATGACATTGACACTTGAGGTTCTCCCCCCCCCCCCCCATTAAATAGGATCTGTTTGTCTTCCAGTTCTCCTAGCATGAACTCTGGATTATAAATTCCTTGGAAGCACACTGTCTACTCCATGTACCCCAGTGCCCTGCAGAGCCTCTCATAAGCATAACTCAGGAAAGAGGGAGAAGAGCAGCCTGAGGGCTAGAAGGTCAGCTCAGACCCCCTGGCCTTCCGTACCTTAAGGTGGAAGGCCAGAGCTAAACCACTGTTTTCTAGGAGGCCAAATTATGGCCAGCAACCCACTCCATATGGAACTATAAATACTGGCCGTAGAGAAATGGCCAAAGCCTAACAGGTAAAGTTTAATTGTACAAAATGTTTTATTAATAAGTTACAGATTCGTTCTTGATTTGAGACATTATGACCTATTCGTTGACACAGTAGTTACCAGCTAAATGGCACTCATTTTGGAGCCAGCAGATGACAGAAGTAATAATATTTCTCTAGTGACATTGTAGTTATACTGACTGTAGAGACTCACTAGGTGGATAATTTTTATCTATGCAAGTAGTAATTTGGTGATACTTAATGAACTCTCAGCTTCTGGTGATTTATGGCAACTGCCGCCCTAAATTCTAACCCTTGTCATACTGTCATTACGTCTATTATTGCATAGGTTAAGAGGAACAATGAGTGGTGTGTGCAACTAGGTAAAAACAAAGGCAGTAATCCGGAACAGGAGTTGCAGGCCGCAGACTGCCCTGTGTGTTAAGATCAGAAAAGCAGCTTGCTACTGTGCTAAAAAGCATCTTCCCAGGTGTTTGCAGGGTCGAGCTGAAGGGATCGCAGAGAATCAATACCGAAGTCAAGGGCACCCACTGGACAGTCCCTCCAGTGGACTAAAATGCAGAGAAGTTTCAATGATGAGTGTGATGAGAGAATATAAATCAGTGTAACTCAAGCAGGATGGCTCTCAGCTATTGTCAGGATAGACTAACCAGCATTCACCTTGCTAGAACACAAATTCAGGATGCATTTGCTTAGTGGTGGTCCTCGTTCCTCAGAAGGAAACTGACATAGTAGTTATTAGTGAATCCATCTCTGACATTCATTCATGTGTTCACCCACTGACTGTACAAGGAACATTTTGTATATGTCTGCCAAGCTCAGCTCTTTCCAGTTTCTCATTCCCTCCAACAGGTGAACCCTAAAAACCCTCTGCAATCCCTGTTATGCTCAAATGGACCAGGAGGACACAGGGACTAGCCTGTCACAATCAGACTCTGACAAATTTCATTGTGCATGCCACACAACCCTGACCTAAAAAGCATAGTCGTGAAGTGTCAGTGCAGAGAGAAAAGTAATGTTCTGGCCATCACGTGGACCTGGGCTGCCTTAGGGAAAGGAGTGTTCCTGGTGATTTGCGCCTTTTTACTAGTTTCTACAACAGGTTCTGCTACATAATAGAGCCACAATACTTGATGAATAGTGAAGTGATGTGTAGAAATAAAGGACTCAGCGGTCTGGGGATCTGTGGCCTTCTGCACTGTGGCTGCTTTCTGTCTCTTGAGTTCTACAAGACTCCTCTGACTCCAGCTTTATTTCTTCCTTATTCTTTCATGTTTCTTGCTTTTGACCAAGATTCTATCGCTCTTGCCTCAAACATAGTGAAAACTCACTCATTTACTCATGGATTCCTCCCTTCACGTACTCATTTCTATAAAAATAAGGATTGCTGCAGACAATGCTGTATGTTTGGCCGAGAACCCAAACATGACAGATTTAGGGGCTACATTTGCCACAACAGAACAAAAGATACTCAAGAGCTGTGGGAACAGAGGGAAGAACACTGTGGCCTGCACAGGCTTGGATCTAATACTATCACAGGGATATAGCATTTAGCATCAGTGTCCTCATTCTTCCGGAAAACGAGATATGTTAACAGTCCATCTTCTCACACAGCATTACCTGGGCATCACAAGATAGTATCGGCTTGGTACGACAAAGCCACTTCCTGGGTTGATAAGACAACAGAAATGTCTCTCACTGTGAAGTCTAGAAGCTTCTGGTTGGGATGGCTTTTCCTCTGGGCTCTAAAGAGATTTCTGTTGCAGACCTGTTTCTTTGGTTTATAAATGGTCATCTTCTTACTCTGCCACTTCATACCTTATCTCCATGTATATTGTTGGGTCCAAAATTCCTGTTTTCCTAAGGAGACATGCACACATACACATAGCTCTAAATAAGATGTCTCCATCAAATGCCTCCTCTCAGAGCTCAGGGAACACAGAAGAAGAGGAAGCAGAAAGAGTGGGGGAGGCAGAGGGGATGGAGGACACCAGGAGAACAAGGTCCTCTAAATCAAATGAGCAAAGCTCATATTAATGAAGCAGCAACCACAGGGCTTACGGCAGTCTGCACCAGGTTTTTTGCATATATACTGTGGCTCCCAGATTAGGGCTTTTATGGAACTCCTGAATGTAAACGAGCGGATCTCTGATTCTCATGCCTCCTCTTGAGGCTCTTTTATTTTTCTGTAGGTGTGGCTTGTCCAACTTTGATATGATGGTTTTCATTTTATCTTGTCATAATTTTATTTTGGAAAGAAGAAAGAGAGAAGGAAGGAAGGAAGGAAGGAAGGAAGGAAGGAAGGAAGGAAGGAAG